TATATTATTTATTTTATTTTATTTTAAGTGGTTTAAATGTAGCTAAGTTGCAAAAACCTTATGGGAATTCAATCTCTTATTGCTTTGCATGGAGTCTGAGTCACTGTCAAAATGCAGTTTTTCATTTTGCTTGAGGTAACATCATGTGATGGTGACAACAATGGTTTATTAACTTTTCAAATTCTTCCCCCTGCTTTAAGTAGAAAGTTCTTTGCTTTAATGTAAATGAAAAGTTAAAGACAGACAGTTCAGTTTCCCCTAAATCAAACCAAGAGCTATATTTACTTGCAAAGGGATCTTAAAGGGCCTGACTCTTGTCCTGCATCATGGTAAGCTCAGCAAATTAAAAATATGATCATCAGATATGCTGATGCGAGAGCAGATTCAGACTGGACATTACTAATCTGTAAGCTACACGGCAGGGTTAGCTCTTGCCAGAAGATCAGCCAGTTGTGATGTAAGGAAACCTCAGGCTGGAAGGCTGCTGAAAACCCTGCAGCACAGACCCAGGGTGGAGGTAGCTGCAGCTTCATGAGGGCTCTGCCTGGAGTAGCAGGAAGGCAGCAGCCTACAACAGCTGTGACCGATGTGAGGGAGGTACAGGCAGAGTACAGATCTCAGTAACATTAGACATCGGAGGGCAAAAGTTAGGAGCCTAAACTCCCTGTAGTGTCAGTGGAGTCTAATAAAAAGAAAGAGATTCAAGATCCCTTGATCCTATATGGCAAAGGAGAGTTTCAGCACACCTTTGTAAGATTTGTGTAGTAGGTAGATAACTTCTTGCTTTTCATTCTTCTGCTTTGCCAGATGATAGTTGAAGCCTACAAAATTAGGGTACAGATCTGGGATTGACTTTAGAAAAGCCTGGTGCAGTACTATAGCTTTAAAAATATTTCCAAACTTGCAGCATGGCTGTATAATGAAAAGAATTGAAACTAATTTCAATGAATTAAATGTGAGAGAAACAAACACTGACAGCTCGGAATGCTGCCCCCAACACAGCCTCTGTGATGTAAATCCTCCCCTATCTGAATTGATTAGCTGGGTTTTAGCAAATGGTGTCTTGGAATAATGAGTGAATAACGCCACTCTGAATTTAATCAGAACCACGTGTGCATAACTGTTCAAGGGTCTTGCAAAACAATTACATCAGAAACAAAAGGCTGAAACCTTTCTGCTTGGTTTCAGAAACCTTGATAGAAGCATTTCAGGAACTTCAACTTCGAGAACCAGTGCTCCCTGAGAATGCTTCACTGCTCTCATTTTCAGTCTTGTATGACTTTGGGATTTCACAAAGGTATCAGTCAGGGAATGTGGATCTCAGTTTGTCTCACTGGCTGTAATCTGAGCTTTGTTCTGCCTATATCTGAGCATTTGGAGTATTTTAAAGAAATAAATCCAATTTTGCTGTTTTCTGACTGGAAGGATTAACCTGAGGGAGATGAGGACAGATTTGTGGAAAGGTGCGGAATAAAGGAGATGTCAGAGTTTTAGGAAAAAACATGTTGTGTGCACACGTGATTTCCTGAAGTAAATGTCAGGCTAAAGAAACCATTATTATTTTGAAAAGCAGTATGAGGTCATTTAAAGGGTGATTTGTGACAATAATAGTGTCACGTTGCAGTAGAAATGTTGCTAGACTCAGAGGACCTGGACCACAGGTTGGTAAAATTGGTGTGTAAAGTTGTAGAGGTTTGGCTTAATGGGTTTCGTCCTTAACTGCTAGCTTTTGTCAGTCACTTGTCTTAATGGAGATGCAGCTTCAGTTGGTTGTGAAATGTGTTTAGGGAGAGATTTCTATCATTTACTGTGCTCCATCTCTGAATTTAGCTCTGTCTTTACCCTAAAAGGTGTTTGTCTTTCCTGGGTTGTGAAGCTCAACCTGTAATATCTTTGATGCATATATGGGGACAACATCGCTTCAGACCTATCTTCAATATGTCCTTGTTTTTAGAGAAAGACCTTGATCTGGGTCACCATTAGTTATCCCAAGGGAGCCTTTAGAGAGTTTTGCCTGCTTAGATACTGAGGAGTTATTAAAGAGCAGTAAATTGAAATTTGCCAGGCAGGAAGTAGAAAAAGTAGACAAGTGGATGGGCAGATAAGTAGGGAACAGTCTACTGGGAAATAACAGTCAAAACAGTGATCTACTTACACTCATGGGGACAAAAGCCATATTTGCCATCTGTGTCAAAGTCTTTGGTTGTGGAACACCAGAGGAATCCATCATTACGTCCTGCATCTGTGCAGCTGTTGTATTCCTTGCCATTGAACCAGAAAGGAAATTTGCAGTATTCACCATCTGCATTTCCATACTTCACTCTAACCACTGTAAAGAGAACAAACGCAGAAGTGAAATCAGCCACAAACTGATATAAAGAATACAGTTTCTGGAAATCTTTTCCTGGAGGGTACTGGTATAGAAATGCAGTCTGAATTTCCACTTTGAAATTCAATGTGCTCCTGGTCTCTCTATTGGCAAGATGATCATAGCTGAAATGATAATTGGTAATTTTGAAAGAAATAATTGTATATTACTCATGGGAAAGTGTTAGAATGAGCAATCCTTAAAATCAACCCAGAAGAATACATACGTTGTTGTTACTATGGCAAGGCAATCTTACAAACATGCTGTTAACACGTTTAGTAATTTAGTTTCTTTGGTAACATGGTCTAAAAAGTTGAGTATAGTTTGAAAGGTTCCAGGCAGCAGTTGAGCATGAGCTGAACATGCCTTGTGCCTGTTAAACCACTTTGGTATTTCCAGTTTGCCTTGAATGAGATCTGCACTGGGGGATAGGTGTGGTGCCATGGGCATAGCTGAGCATGGGGTGTATTTCAGTTTGTCACATGTGGTATTAAGGCTGCAGTACTGGTGTTGTAATGTCTGTTGATGTACAGAAAATTCATGTATCCATAGCATTTCTTTTAATGGCAGTAACTAACTGGATGCTTGTGTAGTATTTCCACTAACACAGAAAACAGCTTCCTCCTGTTTGTTAGTCTGAGGCAGGGATCTAGCCCAGGTAGTACAGCTACTGGTCAGTGCTTCTGCTAAAGTTAAAAGAAAACCAAACAGAAGGACATTGACAATTTTGGTATTAAAGTTCAATTATTTTTTCGATAGGAGGACAGCTGAGGAAACTAGAATTTGAAATTCAATGAAATTAAATGGAATGAAAGGCAAACATGAGTTTTGCATTCATCTAGTGGAAAGCGTCCTTGCCTATGGCAGGGGAGTTGGAACTAGACAATCTTTTAGGTCCCTTCCAACCCAAACCATTCTGTGATTATGAGTTTTCTAAATTATTTTACAGAAGAAGAATTATAACTAGGACTATATGATTGTGGCAAAGTTTAAGCAGGAAATAAAAGAGGTTCCAAACTACTATCACTTGGTCTTTTTTAGCTAGCCAGGTGGTATTATCTGTCCTTCACTTTTTTGCTTCTACAGGATATAGCAAACTGCCTGTTAAGATTCTTGGAGATGTTCATAATCCACTGTTTGATGTCAATTTTATTTCAATCATCACCATGAGGTATTTACATTCCATTTAGTTTTGACAGAGTGTATAAAAACTTATTCAAGTGGATGGTTCCATTTTTAACAACTGAAGCCACAGCTTAAGTCATCTTAAAAAGGTGAGCAGAAGATCCCTGGCCAATCTGCCTCTTACACATGAGCTTAAAGATGTTGTAGTTGGAGTACTGAGAACTGAAGGATTCAAAATCACGGTTGAGGCCGTGTACTTTTCCCACAATTCATGATGGTTGCGCAACATCAGGTCCATTATTAATTCAGTTTTTCAGGGGGCAATAGTAGAGGAACAGAAAAGGAAATCCTAGGTAACATTTATATACGAATTACATAAACATCTAGCAGAGAACAATTTAAACTGTATAAATTAATTTTCACATAACTTACTCTTATTGACATGCCAGTGAAAGCATTTAGCGTGGTGCCTAAGATAGCATTAAAACAGCAGCTAGCAGGCCATATGTTCTGAAACATTAGAAAGTCTGGTACCTTGCCCCTCTCCAAGAGTCCACAGTTCATCATCATCAAAATGGGAGTCTCCTCCAATTCCTGGCCCTGGTGCAAACGCATGAGCCAGGAGACCATCTTTGCCATCAAATGGATAGCCATCACCATGTTCTGCAGGAGGAAGCAGGCAAAAAATTACCTGACCTGTGTCAGAGTATATATATGAATGATAATCATCATCCCTCCCAAGACAGCAGCAGAACAGTCTAGTGAGTAAGTTTATTGGTGTGGGTTGTGCTGGCAAGACTGAACAAGAAGGAAAGAAGCAAGTTCTTACAAAGAACATTAAATGTCAGTACTGCAGCATGTTATTTTCTATCTTACAAGTGTTATGGAAAGGAATCAAAGATAGTGAAGAATAGTGAAATATTGTCCATTAGATGTATGGCTGCATACACACTACTGTTTCTCAATGGAGACAGCTGTAAAATAAATGTTGTAGATGAGGGGTATTTTCAGGTAATTTGTATCAGTCTCCAAGACAGATATTTGGAAAGTAAAGGCAGATTTCTTTCTGTAGGCTACTCTCTTTCTGCTGCGCCTCAGACTGCCGTGGTTTTTGTGCAGGATACGAACTACTTTAAGCTGGAAAGCAAATAAGCTGAGTGTGTCAGTATTGGGGGTCTGGAAAGCTAGTTCTGAGTCCTGTGAATGAGCTTATTCCTCCTCCACATCAACCACTCTGAGACTTGGGCAGCTCACAGGGCAGCAGCAGGTTAAGTAGCTCCCCTGTTATTACACTGTAGGCTTTTCTTGGAAGTACACCACATGCGGGTAAGGCTGGCTGGCAAGGGCATAACCCTGGTATTCATAGCTTTCCCACCACACTGACCTGTGCATCAGAGCTGGCTGCCAGCATTTACAGTTGCATCATTTCAGGCCTTTTGGTCTGATGTCTTGCCATTTAACAGAAACCCTAAATACACAGGCTGATTCTTTACTCTATTACACTGATTTCATCGTGATGTTACTCTCTTAATACTGGTTCAGTTCACTAACATCAGTAGCCTAGTGTGTCAGTTGTGAAGGACAACATTTTTATATATATCAGATGTGCTACTCCCATTTATTTCCAAGTAGATCCTTGCTTAAGAGTAAATTTAAGAATGGAAAAACACTGCGGATGTCTCAGTTCCTGTGAATCTGACATGCAGTAAAGTGATAAGAGTGAATGAATGTGGAAGCTCTTCTGAGCTGACTGTAACTAAACCCAGCAGAAACACTTCTGCTTTTGTAAGACTTCTGTTGTGCGAACCAAGCCAGCCTGGATGAGGATCTGAAGTTTTGAGATCTGTACAGAATCTCTGAATCTTTTGAGGTCAACTCTTCAGTAGCTAAAGCACAGAAAATCAGCTGGAAATAGAAGCTTTTACAAAGAGCTTAGTTACTCTTTGAACTGTTCACTTTCAAAGTCCACCCCCCAAGTGACTGGCTGCACAAGTATCTTCATTAGTATTAAGAATTCTGTGACTCTGCATAAAAAGTTAAAATGCCCAAGGTTTACACTGAAAAGCTATAAACCTTCTTTCAGGAGAAACCAATTAATTAAGCATTAATTAATTAATTAATTAAGAAGTCATGTACAACAAAATGAATCAAGTCACGTATCATCAGCTGGACTCAAACCATGATTCAGCTTATGATCCGTATTTTTTAAGTTCCTTAAGACCAAAGAAGGCATTGAAAGCCTGTATTCTGCTGTGCTAAGGGTCAGAGGCTACCTAAAGAGTCCAAATTGGAAGGCACAACTCCATTCTTAAGCTCCAGTATGTTAGGACCCCCACCATTATCACTGGAATACTGAGTATGTAGCTATAAATAGTACAATGGCATTCCATTCTTTTCCGTGGCAAAAAGCCAGCTCACATCATCTGAAGATTTGTAACAATATTTCCCAGTTCTATTTCTGATTTGTAAATTTAAAAATAAAATGTTGCCTTTAGCGATTCTCTTTTGGAAAGATAAATATAGTATAAGCATATTGTATAAATACTTCTCTCTCTCTCTCATATAAGATAGAAAAAAGAATCTTAGTGAAATTAGATCTTAGCCTGTATAAGCCAAGTGCAAACTAGGACAAGGCTTGCCAGAAAGGCTCACAGGTACTATTTATTGAGGTTAGATCATTCCAGTACGTAGGATTAATCAAAGGAACAAACCCAAAAACATATGGAAAAATAGAAAAATATACCCCATCGGCCAAAATTAATCATAATGTCTGCTTCTCCATCATTTATTCGGTTAAATCTCAGCGGTGTGACATCACTCCAGACTTGAAAGGCTCGAGCAAAGGCATCATCTACTGTCTCAGGATCCAAATCTGGGGTATAGCCTATAATCCTTAGAGGTAAAAGGAAGAGTTAAATAACACATAACCCCCTCTGAGTATTTGTTGATTAATGATCAAAATACTGTGTAAGCTCAGTAGTGAAACTGGTTAAGAGGTAACGCTGCTGCACAGGAGATGTGTGTTTAGATGTGGTGCTTAATATTTATTTTGTTTTATTTATTATCATTTGTAACTGGTGCAGTAGGATGAAGAAAATTATGCAGCCAGGGGCTGTAAGACCTGCATGGCAGTGGGCCCTGCGCAAAATATTAAAGGCTTTGCATCAGCACTGAGGTGCTGGCAAGTCATACTGTCACCTTAGATGTGAACATAGAAGGGCATCTTGATATGTAAGATTTATTTGCCAGAAAAAGAGCTCAATAATATCGTGAAAGTTTCAAGTGTGGATTGTTTTGCTCTTTATTACTAAGCAGCCTTTCTCCCTCATCTTTATAGCTAACTGTATGTCCCTGTTTCATCTGGGATGAAAGCTGTTAACTGTTTCATTCCAGCTGAATTATAATCCTTTTCCGGTGTGTTGGTTACATTGGCAGTAGGGTATATGGAGAAACAGGAGGTAAAAGCTTGTAAGATAGAGCCATAGGCCCAGCACAGGAAAGGGTCAAACTCTTAAGTGCATTGCTTTCTTCTTCTTCATATATTTTAATTGGACTTCTTAGTACCTTGTATTATAACCTTACGTAAAAAGAAGTTTCCAATTTGCTGCTGGTGCTGTGCATAGTGAGGGAAATTACTTTATGCCTAAGGACAATGAGGAAGAACCAGGGGAAGCATATCAGCAAGCAGGGGCTGTGAGAGCTGCCACAGTTTTTCAGTATTTATTAGGCTGGTCACAGCATGAGGGATACTTTAAGTCCTAACTTGTGAAGGAGCAGCAGGTCAAGCAGATAAGACAAATCTGCTGTTTTGTTCTCACTGGTGCAGAAAGTTTGTTCCTGGACCACCTAGGATAACGAGATTCTTTTTATTACTGACTTAAGTGAAAGCTGTTTTGTTCCCTAACTCTTCAGAGTAACAGTAAGAAATCAAAGCATGCCAAACCTATTGCAGCAGGTCTGCTTTAAATCATGTCTGTATTTATCCAAAATATGATTATTTAATTTTAAAATTTATTTGATGACCTTCATTTTTATGACTGCTGAATGCAGAGGAGTTTGTCCTCTTACATGGCCTCTGCAG